AGTTTTTAAGAAAACGTTTATGGTGCTTTACATTTTGTGATCCCCTAAAGATTTTGGCCGAGACCCTTGCTTGGTTCACACCCTAACCACATCAGTATGCTTTCTATCTTGTTGCTCCACCATAGATCCTTCTCAATTGCATTTACCCGCTCAATGCGGTGGTATGTTTCTCCTCCCAATTTCGTCCTGTTTTTTATGACTGGCGCAGTCTAGTTGGTGTAGATATGGTTGCATCCATCTCCATGAATAATCATCTCTTGATGTTTCCACTCGAACTTCACAGCTTGGTGCAGAGTAGAAGCAACTGCCCCAGCTGCGTGTATCCATGGTCGTCCCAATAACAAGTTATAGGTGGAAGATATGTCTAGCACTTGGAATTCGACATCAAACCAGTTCAAACCCATCTGTAGATCAAGGTTGATTTCTCCAATAGTGGTTCTCTGAGATCCATCGAACGCTTTCATATTCATGCTTCCTATCCGTATCTCATGCAGGCCTTTACCCAGTCTTTTCAAAGTAGTTAGCGAGCATATGTTCAGGCTCAAACCTCCGTCTATTAGAACCATGGCAATGAACTTGTCTTCAAATTGCACAATGATGTGTAACACTTTGTAGTGACTCAACCCTTCTAGTGGTAGCTCATCTTCGTGTAAAGTAATTTTGTGACTCTCTAGTACCTGTCCTACCATATTGGCCATCTCCCCATTAGTGATACCAGCGGGCACATAAGCTTCACTTAATACCTTCATCAAGGCTTTCTTGTGCGCGTTTGAATTTTACAATAGCGACAAGATGAATACTTGGGTGGGAGTTTTGTTCAGGTGATCAAAAACAGAATATTCCCTCATCTGTACCTTCCTCCAGAGATCGTTGGTGTTTGTCTCAATGACAGGTAGCTTAGATGCAATTTCTTTGCTTGTTCCTCCAAGATTCTCAAGTGTATAAACTCTGCCAGTTCTGGTCATACCTTGCACAACACCTGTCTCTTCCATCTTGGCATTTCCTTTCTCCTTGCCTCCGCCACACAATCTAATGGGACAATATCAGACTTATAAGACGGTGTTGGAGCTACCATCATAGTGAAAGGCGTAGCTACCTCGACCTCAAATGGCGCTTAGGTTTGCACCACAATCGGTGAGATGGTGACAGGAGATGTTTTAGGATCATCCCCTTCACGAATAAGTCCGATGGATCCCTCCTGATCCAATTCCTCATCAGTTTCTATCACATTCACTCTCTCGCCCCTATGATCAGGGACAGGGTTATTACGGACATTTGGCGCGACTTCCTTTGCCTTTATAACTTTGGTGTCGATCAGTGTCTAGATCTTGTCTTTCAACATGCGGCATTCCTCAATGGTATGACCCTTCATGCTTGAATGATAGGCACAAGTTTTGTTGGGGTTAATGATGGTAGGCTATAATTGCGTGTTTTAGTCTCTTATTGCACTCTAATTTACTGAACTTTAATTGCTTTTGAGCGTTAATCGCTAGTGTTTTGCACTAATTGTGTGTTTTATGCCTTGTAAGAGTGATACCGAGTTATGTAGATGTTATGGCATGAATTTAAGCTATTCTGGAGCTTTGAAGTCTAAGTAAAAGCTCAAGGATGAAGTTGGGATCATGTTCAGGGATCAACGGACCATCATGCACTTAACGAAAGAAATGGAGAATTGAGCAGGACGCCACCCAGGTGCGCGAGCATACACTGGGCGCGCACTGGGCACGCATGTAAGGCAGCATACCTTCCAAAATGCACGGTCATATGCGTGAGCACACTCCCAGGTGCGCGGCCGCGCACATCCAACTCCGAAAAGAGTCATATTTCGCGTATGAGAAGGTGTGTGCGTTTGGGCCCGACCCTACTTGGTATATATACATGAGAAAATAGTATTTTTGGGACTTTTGACACATCTAAGACCTAAGGAAGTGAAGGAAAAGTGGGAGAGGCAAGAGCAAAAGGATTTCACCATTCAATCCTCACTCAAGACAAGAGTTTGGATCGTTGTATGTTTTCCTTAAACTTAAACTTATTTGTAATGAATTACTCCATATCTATGGAGTAGTTCTCTTTAGGGATTGGTGGATTTGGTGTATTGAGAATTGTTTGTGGGTATTAACTCTAATTTTGATGTATTGGATCGTTTTGAGTGTTTTAATTGTTGCATCTATTTTCACATGTTCATGTAATCGTAAGTGGCATAACTTGTGATGTGTTTGCAGTATCTTGTTGGGTGAATTTATTGATTCTTCATAGTAATCGAAATAGGCTAGTTGAATTATTGTTTAGACCTAGTTAGGAGGATAATCGGAAGAGGTTCTCCTAAAGGCCAATCCACTACGAATTCCTGGATATCTTCACCGAGCTTAACTTAGTTCATCTTGTGAGGTTGAGACTTAATTGAGAGAGGAGTTTCCACTGAATGTTTGAACTAATAATTGATTGAATTCGAGAGACTCTCTTGAACCTTATAAGTGGATCGACTATAGTTAAATCCCAGACAAGTATCTTGCACCTATCCAATCAACCCCTATTTTCTCCCATTGATATATTCTTTGCTTACACATATTGTGTTTGTCATTAGCCAATAGTTTAGACTTTTAGTTAGTTTTAGTTTCAATCACACAAATCTAAATTTTTGATCATCTTGGATATCAATAAAACTTTTTCTACAAAAACACTGTTTAAATCCAATCCATGTGGATACGATATTTTTCTATACTATATTCGACTAGCGAGCATATTTAAGTGTGTGTTTTGCGCTCGTCAAATTTTGGTGTCGTTGCCGGGGATTGGCAATCAATAGTGTTTAAAATAGTCTGTAGTGCTAATTCAAGAATTTTTCTTCTAATTAAATTTTATTTTTCCCTTTTTACGTTAGTGCTTGTTAGCTGTTCGCAGGCTACAGGTTAGATTGGTGCATGACTCGATCCTCTGGGAAGGAAGTGCTACCACACGAACTAGAAATTGAGAAACAACTACGACAGTTGATGAGGAAAAGAAATCTCCCCCGAGAATACTGAGAAGGTTGGGCAATCCTCAACCAAAGAAATTATGGCTGGAGATGTTGATAATGTTGATTTGGCTGCAAGAGAGGCAGCCCAACAAATAGAAAAAGTTGCAAGGGATGTTGGGGAAACAACTCTTCAAAATGCACAACTTGTCTTTGAGGAGGAGAGGGCTCAGAGAATTGCTCAGAATCAACCCGTGGGTGCAGACCAGTTCGAAAACATAGTTCCCGGTGCTGGGAGACCACTTGGTAATTATGCTAGACCGGTCAACAACCAAGGCTTATCAAGTGTGAGACCACCTCCAGTTACAGCTAACAATTTTTAGTTAAAGCACGGGTTGCTTCAAACCATTCAAAATAGCTGTGTCTTCAGAGGAAAGATGAACGAAGACCCAAACAGTCATCTAATGGACTTCGAAGAGATTATGAACACCTTTCAATACAATGGTGTATCACAAGATGCAGTTTACTTAGGATGAGTCTTAGAGATGCTGCAGAGAGGACACGTACTAGCTGTTGGCATGATTTATGATACTAATGGAACAGTAACTTCTGCATCCAATGCTACAGTGAATTCTAGCTTAGGAACAGTGAATGATTTACAGTTTAAGGTGATGTAGGAGGTACTGGGTGGCAAGGACTAGAATGCAATGGTGTTGAATGAGGGTAACAAGTTGTCACATGATCAAATGGAAGAAGCCATTTTCCCTAAGGATTCAGGTATAAGTGAGGCAATCCCAATGGCTTGTGTATTAGGAGCTGGGCAAACTATGCATATTCATGTTAATGAATTGTTGAAATCACCAAAGAAAATTCTACATGACATTATTACACACAATGTTAGTCTTGTGGAAATTGAGAATACAGTAATAGAATAAAGTCAACTTGATGAGGAAGGAGAGGACGAATCAATTGCAGGGAGCTTTAAGGCAGTGGCAAGAGAGGCAGAACTACCACCAAGAGCTACTGGTAGAAGTGCTAAAAAAATGAAGAAGCAAGGTCTAATTAAAGATGTACACCAACCTACAAGAATCTTGACCAAGAGGGAAGTATCACAATCTAAATGATGATCAAAGCTTTGACTTGGAACATAAGGTCTGTGAATACTCAATAGGACTTCAGAGGGTGATCAATATGCAAAGGGAACATATATTCTTTGTGGTTTCTTTGATGGAACCATTTTAGAATTCAATAAATATTCAGAGGTATAGGAGAAGGCTAAATATGGAAGCTACATTGTCAAATATTAATGGTAAGATTTCGCTATTTATTGATGATGTGGTGGAATGGGAGCATGTGATGGATACTGAGCAGCAGGTGACAATTAAAATATTTTATCAAGACATTGGACACCTTGTTATGATGACTTTAGTTTATGCAAAGTGTTCTACAATTGAGAGATTAGAGTTGTGGGATAATTTGTATTACCTTGCAAGTTATAAGGAACTGCCTTGGATGGTAGGTGGAGATTTAATGTGATATTTCATGAAGATGTGATCATTGGTGGCCTGCCAGTACATCCTCCAGAATATGAGGACATTGCTTTTTGTGTTAACTCTAGTGAATTGTTTGATCTAGGGTTCAATGGGAGTCATTTCACTTGGCGGAATGGTAGACCTAATGTTGCGTGCATTTTCAAAAGATTTGACAGGATATTTGTGAACATGCCATTTCAAAATCAGTTCCTTACAATTGATGTGGAACACTTGATAAGAACAGGTTCTGACCATGCACCTTTGTTCTTAAGCTGTGGACAACACGCCACAAATTATGTCAAACCATTTAGGTTCTTAAACTTCTAGACTAAGCACGAAGCTTTCAAGAGGTGGTGAGGCAGAACTGGCATGCTGACTTTATAGGTGATCCCTTTCTCATGTTCAAACACAAGCTGAAGAAGGTGAAGAGTGCTCTGTCCAAATGGAGCAAAGCCACATATGGATAAAATTTCAAGAAATTAGTAATACTGGAAGATATTGTAAAGGTGAAGGAGATGTTGTTTAAGGAGGAACCAACCATTGACAACATAATTGTTCTCCAAAATGCTCAAGCAGAATTGAAAAAGTATCTGAGCATTGAGGAACAATATCGGAAGCAAAAAGCAGGAGTAATATGGGTTGCTGAGGGAGATAGAAATACTAATTTCTTTCATAACCATGTCAATGGCAAGAAGAAGAAGCTTCAAGTGAAGAGGATCCATAATGGAGATGGGGGATTGGTTGAAGATCATGATCAAATAGCTAATGTTGCAGTGAATTTCTATCAGAAGCGGTTTTCTAAAGAGACTGATCATACTGATTTCTCTTTGTTAAACAATGTACCTTATATGGTCACTATGGAACGAAATTTGGACATTTGTAGATATCCAACACTAGAGGAGGTCAAGGGAGTTGTTTTTGAACTTAGTGGTGACATTGGTAGTGTTCCAGATGGATTCAATGGGCTTTCTACCAAGAGTGTTGGGAGATCATTTGTTATGACATACATAGCATGGTACTACATTTTTATGGTGGTGCATCATTGCCTAAGTCTATCACACACACAAATTTGGTATTACTGCCAAAGAAGTCACGGGTGCAGACATTCTCAGACTTGAGACCTATAAGCTTGAGTAACTTCATCAACAAGGTGATTTCTAGAGTGCTTCATGATAGACTTGAGAAGTTATTGCCTTCATTGATTTCACCTAATTAGTCTGGATTTGTGAAAGGAATGGGCATCTTTGAGAACATATTCTCAAACAAGATATTGTCACTGACATAAGGCTAATGGGTAAACCTACTAATGTGATAATTAAATTAGACATGGCCAACACATATGATAGGGTTTCATGGAAATATTTGTTACATGTCCTAAGGAATATGGGATTTGCTGAGCATTTTATTACTATGGTGTGGAACCTTCTGTCAAATAATTGGTATTTAGTCTTGGTTAATGGGCAATCTTCAGACTTTTCCAAATCTACAAGGGGTGTCAAGCAAGGAGATCCACTATCTCCTACCTTGTTCATACTATCTGCAGAGGTATTATCAAGGTCCTTGAACAAGTTTTTTGAGGATAGTTCTTTTATTGGATTTGGGAGACCTAAGTGGACAGATCCTTTGAATCATCTAGCATATGCAGATGATACCATCATCTTTGCCTTAGCTCATCAGGATTCTTTGATGAAGTTGATGGTAGTCTTGGTAAATTATGAAAAGATATCAGGGCAGCTTATTAACAAGTCCAAGAGTTCCTATTATATGCATGCTAATGTAGCTAATTCTTTGTTTCAAGAAGTAGGTGATGCCACAAGATTCGCTAAAGGTGAATTTCCATTTACTTACTTGGGATGTCCTATCTTCTACACTAGAAGGAGTAAGGATTACTATGAAGCACTTATCAAGAAAGTAAAGGCAAAACGGCATTCATGGAAAGGCAAATTGCTATCATATGGAAGCAAGGCTACACTCATTACTAGTGTATTATAAATCATGCCAATACACTTGTTGTCAGTTCATGATCCACCTAACAATGTGCTAGAACATCTACATAATCTCCTTCCAAGGTTCTTTTGGATCACAAAGGAAAAGGGCAGGAGTAGGCACTAGTCTTCATGGCAAAACTTGTATCTTCCCAGAGAAGAAGGTAGATTAGGGTTCAGATCTTTGGTGGATATATCTAAAGCACTATTTACTAAGATATGGTGGAGATTTAGGACCAAAAAATCATCGTGGTAAAATTTTATGTGGAATAAGTACTGCAAGAAAGAGATACCAATAGTGGTGCAGTCTAGAGGAGGGTTACATATTTGGAAACAAATGTTGGATGCAACGCAGGATGTGGAGCATGAAATATGGTGGGAGATGCAAAGGGGTTCTACCAATGTTCGACATGAAAATTGGACCATATTTGGGTCATTGTATCATATAGTACCTCCAGATTATCCTATTAATGAAGACATTCAAGTGGTGGCTGGTTTGAGACAAGGTGAAGGGTGGAATGATCAAATGTTAGAGCAAACATTTCCTGAGGAGATAGCTGATCATATTAGGCACAAAATACACTTTGATAGCAGTGATGATTACTGGGATAAGCCATGGTGGATGCCTACTGACTGAGGTAAGTTTTCTGTGAGTAATGCTTGTCAAATATTAAGACACAAGGCAAACCCTAATTCAAAATTCAAAAACATGTGGATTAGAGGTTTGCCATTCAAGATATCCTTCTTTCTATGGAGAAGGATTTTCTACTTGCATGTATCAAGATGTTGGTGTTGACAACAACCACAAAAGGAGTCTTTTGATCACTTATTCTTCAATAGTTCTACTACCTCTAGGGTTTGGAAGGTGTTCATTCATGCAGCAAGGATTAATGTACAACTGATACAGGTTCATCAAGTCATTAGAGCTTGGTGGAATGCTCAATGTTATCCAAAACTAAAACTCTAATATCAAGAAGTTCCAGCCATGATCACTTGGGAGTTGTGGAAGAGGAGGAATGAATTTAGAAATGGTGGAGTAGTGTCATCTAATAGAGTGATTCATGAAGTTAATAATACACTTTACTATTTGGCAAAGGTTAGGTATCCTTTCTTGTGGCCGGTTATGATCAAGTTCTTTGAGGGATATAAGCATGTTCTTTTGACTATAAGAGTAACCTAGAAAGTGCTTCATGTGGGATGGTACAAGTGTAACACTAATGGAGCTTCAAGGGGCAATCCGGGGCGAAGTTCATTTGTCTTTTGTATAAGGGATAGTGTTGAAGATTTGGTGTATGCTAGGGCATAGATAATAGAGGAGACAGTCAACATTGTACATGAGGCTATGGCCATAGTAGAAGGACTTGCATATTGTATGGAAAAGGAGTTGCATCCTCTCATAATTGAAACTTATTCTTTAGTAATGAAGAATATCATAGAAGGAGAATTGGATCCTCCTTGGTGCATTGTGGCAGAAGTAAAGAGGATTAAGGAGATGAAGGATCAGTTTAATGTGATACTCCAGCATGTGCTTAGAAGCATGTAGCAAATGAATAGATATTGGGTGAGAAATGCACAATTGAACAAGTAACAGGTAACAACAAAAAACAAGTAAGAACATGTAGCAACTAAAGCATGTAACAAGATATAACATAGAGTAAAAGAATACATGGAAGTAAATAGACAAATCCCACATGCTTGGATCCCATGGTGGTGCATATACACTCGTCACATTACATATACGTCGTTTCCCAACACCATTCATATAGAAAATAGTCCAACAAGTCCTAATTACTTTAAGTCAAGGTTAGACACAATACTTACCTCTTTTCGCAATCAAATCAACACTCAATCACGACCTTTCCTTTAGAATTAGCCAAAACCAGTCAATTCTAGCCAAATATAGTTCAAATGATTCAAAATAAGGTTTAGAAACTATCCATGAGTGAAAATAATTCAATTTTTAGTGAATTTGGAAAAAGTGAATAAAATTCAACCCCGAGCCCTCTTGGTCAAAACTCGAGATTCAGACCAAAATCCGATTACCCATTCACCCCGAGATCGGTTATGTGATTAGTTCCGAAATCCAGCCTCAATTTAAGGTCTAAATCTCAATTTTACAAAATCCCCAATTTCTACCCAAATCCCTAATTTCTACAATGAAAATCCTATATTTGATGTTGAAAACACATGAAAAGTATTGAGTAATTGAAAGGAAATGGATTAAAGTTGCTTACCAATTATTGTGGGAAGAAGAAACTCTTGAAAAATCGCCTCTAGAGTGTTTAGGGTTGAGAAAAGGTGTAAAATGAGCTAAGTCCCAATTTTCCCCTCTTTTAGCCAGCTGCAGATGTCGCAATTACCAACTCATTTTTGCAATTGTGACCATTGCAAATGCGAAATACAGGTCGCAAATGCGAACTGTGCGTCAGAAGCCCAGAAGTCACAAATGCAAATGCAAACTTTCCCCCCTTCGCTAATGCGGACAACCACTTCGCAAATGCAAAGCTGTTCTAAGTTGCCAGGAGTCGCAAATTCGACCAAGATGCTAGCAAATGCGACACTAACCAGTTCGCAAATGCAAACCATTTCCTCGCAATTGCGTGGTCACCCAGCCCAAGCCCCTGCTCGCAAATGTAAAGTCATGTTCATAAGAGCGAGGCTCGCATTTGCAAGCCAGACCTCAAGGAGGCGTGGCCGGCACTCGGTGCCAAATTTGGCCTAAGCGTACCACTCTATAACTGTGAACTCTTGAGGGGTAACCCTCTCTATTGCATTTTCATAGAAGGATAATTCTTAGATCTCAACTTACGAACCTGTCAGTCTAGAATAGCCATCGACTCTTCTTCATAGGTCAAATTGTCATCAAGTTGTACCTTGCTAAAGTCCAACACATGTGACCTAACCTCATGGTACTTTCGAAGCATCAAAACATGAAATACCAGATGTACCTCTTCTGGGCTAGGGGGCAATGCAAGCCTATAAGCAACCTCCCCAACTCTCTCCAAGATCTCGAACGGGCCAATGAACCTCGAGCTCAACTTGCCATTCTTCCCAAACCACATCACGCCCTTCATAGGCGACACTTAGAGAAGAACCTTCTCACAAACCATGTAAGACACATCTCGAACCTTCTGATCCACATAACTCTTTTGCATGAATTGAGCAGTACGAAGTTGCTCCTGAATCACCTTAACCTTCTTCATAGCATCACAAACTAAATCAGTGCCCAACAATCTAGCTTTACTCAGCGCAAACAAACCAATCAACAAACGGCATTGCTTCCCAAACAAGGCCTCATACGGAGCCATCTGGATGCTCAACTGATAGCTATTGTTGTAGGTGAACTCTGCTAGAGGTAAAAACTGATCCCACCGACCCTCGAAATCCGTAGAGCATGCTTGCAACATATGTTCCAATATCTGGATAGTGCGCTCGGACTGTCCGTCCGTCTGAGGATGAAATGAGGTACTTAGCTCAACTCACATGCCCAACTCTCGCTGCACAACTCTCCAAAAATGCAATGTGAACTGCATGCCTCTCTCATATATGATAGAAATGGGCACGCCGTGTAGGTGGATAATCTCCCGGACACAAATCTAAGCCAATTGCTATGAAGAATAACAAGTCATCACCGAAATGAAGTGAGCAAAGTCAATCGATCCACAATAACCCAGACTGCATCATATTTCCTCAAGGTCTGCAATAAGCCTACCATAAAATTCATAGTGATGCACTCCCACTTCCACTCCGGTATATCCAATCTCTAAGTCAACCCACCCGGTTTTTGATGCTCGTACTTCACCTGTTGACAGTTCAAACACATAGAGACATAAGCAACAATATTTTTCTTCATCCTTCGCCACTAATAGTGTTGTGTCAAGTCACGGTACATCTTTGTGACACCTGGGCGAAAGGAATAGCGCGAATTGTGAGCCTCCTCAAGGATAAAGTCTCTCAACCCATCAACCTTTGGAACACAAATCCGGACCTGGAGCCACATAACACCATCATCTCCAATCACAACCTCCTTGGCACCACTCCATTGCATCGTGTGCTTCAACACCAACAAGTGAGGATCATCAAACTGGCGAGCCTTGATACGCTCAAACAATGATGACTGTGCCAGAAAAAAGCAAGAACTCAGCTAGGCTCTGACAATTCCAAACTCACGAACCGATTGGCCAAAGCCTGAATATCCATAGCTAGTGGCCTCTTCACTATCGGTACATATGCCAAATTGCCCATGCTCTCAACCTTTCTACTCAATGCATTGGCCACTACATTAGCTTTCTACAGAAGATATAGTATGGTGATACCATGATCTTTCAACAACTCTAACCATTTTTGTTGCTGCAAATTGAGGTCCTTCAGCTTGAACATGTGTTGGAGCGTCGGATGGTCGGTATAGACTCACAAGGAACGTCGTATAGATAGTGCCTCGAAATCCTCAGCGTGTGAATAATGGTTGCCAAATCTGAATCATGCGCAAGGTAATTCTTCTCATGGACTTTCAACTGCCGAGACGTATATGCAATTACCCTACCAGCCGGCATCAATATCACGCCAAGCCCAATACACGATGCATCACAATACACGATGGACGATCTCGAACCTGTAGGCAATACCAACACTAGGGTTGTAGTCAATATAGTCTTGAGCTTTTGAAATCTCACTCATACTCATCGGACAATATGAAAAGAGCACCCTTCTAGGTCAACTTGGTCAATGGGGCTGAAATATATGAAAACCCCTCCACCAATCGGCGGTAATAATCCGCCAAACATAGGAAGCTCCAAATCTCTATAGCTGAAGTAGGTCTAGGCCAGTTCTGAACTACCTCAATCTTCTTAGTATCCACTTTAATTCCCTTGGAAGATACAACATGCCCCTAAGAAGGCAATCGACTCTAACCAGAACTCACACTTTGAAAACATGTCATATTACTGACAATCTCTAAGAGTATGAAGTACGATCTGCAGATGTTGATCATGCTCCTCTCGACTATGGGAGTAAACAATGATATCGCCAATGAAGACAATCACAAAGGAATCCAGATAGGGCTTGAACACCCGGTTCATTAAATCACAAAGGCTTTTGGGCATTAGTTAAGACAAATGACATCACCAAGAACTTGTAGTGACCATACCGAGTCCGTAATGTTGTCTTCGGGACATCCGACGCCCTAAACATCACTTGATGGTAGTCAGACCTCAAGTCAACCTTCTAAAATACCTTGGCACCCTAAAGCTGGTCAAATAAGTCATCAATCCTTGGCAACGGGTACTTGTTCTTGATAGTGACCTTGTTATTGTTATAGAGCCATCTTTCTTCTTCAAAAACAACACCGGTGCACCCCAAGGCAAGACGCTAGGTCTAATGAATCCCCAGTCAAGCAAATCCTACAATTGTTCCTTCAATTCTTTCAACTCAATTGGGACCATATAGTATGGTGGAATAAAAATGGGCTGAGTGCCAAAAACCAAGTCAATATAGAAGTCGATATCTCTGTCGGGTGGCTTGCCCAAAAAGCCTGTAGGAAGCACCTCCGGGAACACGGGCAACCAGAACTGAATCCATGGAAGGAACCTCAACACTAGAATCATAGATATAGGCCAAATACGTTTGACACCCCTTCTC